AATTTAAAATAAAATAAAACTGCCAGCCTTGGTCGATCTAATCCCAGAGTACATGTATTAAGTAGCGAAATCGGCGAGGGCCCTACGTATCCCATACAGCACCAAGGCTTTCAGAAACATTTCAGAAACATTTTAGGGCCCCCGCTGATTTCGCTACTTAATACATGTAGTTTTAATATACATTGTAGTACTATCAAAGAGAAGCCATTGAAAGGCCGGCTCACTTTGTAAGGCAAATAACCGAAAGATAAGACATTTTGGTAAACAAACCTGCCGTGTATTTGTGCCACTAGATTGTAACCATAAGTGTCCCGATGGCAATCAGTGTGGGCGCCCTTGTTCCCGATCCAGATGGTAGAGTGCATTCCATTCTTTCCCAGTTCCTTGTCCATTCCGAACTTGAGCCAATTGAAGGACTCCACAATTTCCTTGTTGTCGCCGAACCACTCCTTTATATGCTTGTAGTCGCAGTAATGCCACGTGTGCCTGTTTGTCTCTAGGGTGAGAAATTCTTGCAGCGTCAACTGAACAGGTTCTGGAGGTGGACTCACGCACCATTGCTGATGCTGAAGCACGCACTGGAAAGAACGGGAGCAAACGGAATGAAACGAACGATACAATTGTCGGTCGGTGGACTCATTAAAGATTATTTAGAAACGCTTTGTTACAACCCATACAGCGCAAGAACGTCCAGCAACATCGCAGCAACATTGCAATGTTGCTGGACGTTCTTGTGCTGTATGGGAACCTACCGTACGCTTGTTGTGATTCCCAACTCGAAACGGTAGCTTCTTCTCGCCGAACTTTTCCACCAATTCATCCAAGCTCCACTGTAGTAATTTCCAAGTACGGACCCCGTCGGGCGTTATCAACATGTTTTGAAATAACACAGGCTCGTCGAGTTTGGGCAGAATGTTTTGCAGCTCCTCGTCCAGCGGTTTTAACGGGCGACTCATGTTGAGGTGTTTCTAACTATCTTGTACTAATCTATGCTGTCTTATAAAGTGCAAGAAGCGCGTTAGATCAGATCACTTAACCTCTCTTAATTAATTTCAGTTATCAATCTCAGGAGCGTTGACTTAAACAGAGTGCACGGGATCTTACGAGCTATACAAATCGGCGCC